ATATGATCTACTATGCTGGGAATGACAACTTGAAAAGGAATAGCATTGTGTTTATCGTCTAAAAGAACATTTCAAGATCTATCCTGAAGTACAATGCTGTCAGTGATAGGATAACATCCACAGGCCTACGAGGAAGACCGGTTAATACGATTATTATTCAAGTTTATGCACCAACCAGTAAGGCCAAAGATGAAGAAATTTAAGATTATTACCAACTTCTGCAGTCTGCAATTAATCATACAATCAAGATGCACTGATAATTACTGGTGATCAGAATGTTACAGTTGGAAACGAAGAAGGATTGGTAGTTGGAAAATATGGCCTTAGTGATAGAAAGGATGCTGGAGATTGAATTATAGAATTTGGGAATACCAACGACTTCTTCCTTGCAAATACCTTTTTTCACCAACATAAACGGTGACTATACACACGGACCTCACTTAATGGAAAACACAGGATTCAGATCCACTGCATTTGTGGAAAGAAACAATGGAAAATTTCCATGTCATCAGTCAGAACAAGATGAGGGGCTGACTATGAAACAGACCATCAATTGCTCTTATGCAAGTTCAAGTGGAAGTTGAAGAAGATTGGAACAAGTGCATGAAAGCCAAAGTACGACCTTGAGTATATGCTGCCTGAATTTAGAGACCATCTTAAGAATATGTTTGATGTGTTGAACACTAAAGACCAGACAAATGGATGCAGTGCTGCAAGTGCCCACTTGTCTATTCTTAGAAATTGAGAAGACAGCTACCTGGCCAACCAACTGGAAGAGATCTATATTTATGCCTATTCCAAAGAAAGGTGATCCAACAGAAATAAAAAGTTATTGAACAATATCATTATTATCACACTCAAGTAAAATTTTCTGAAGATCAGTCAAAAATGATTGCAGCAGTACATTGACAGGGAACTGCCAGAAATTCAAGCCAGATTCAGAAGAAGATGTGGAACCAGGGATATAATTGCTGATGTCAGATGGATCCTGGCTGAAAGCAGAGAATACCAGAAAGATGTTTATCTGTGTTTTATTGACTATGCAAAGGCATTCGACTCTATGGATCATAACAAATTATGGGTAACATTGCAAAGAATGGGGATTCCAGAACACTTAATTGTGCTCATGAGGAACCTGTGCATAGACCAAGAGCAGTTGTTCAAACAGACCAAGGTGATACTATGTGTTCTAAAGTCAGGAAGGGTGTGCATTAGGGTTGTATCCTTTTACCATACTTACTCAATCTGTATGCTTAGCAAATAGTTTGAGAAGCTGGACTATGTGAAGAAGAATGGGGCATCAAGA